TCACACAAAAACATTTTCAACAGGGTAAGAAACGCTTTTGAAAGCGTCAGAAGCTGACGCTTTCAAAAGCGTCACAGAAAAACGTTTTTAACAGCGTAAGAAACGCTTTTGAAAGCGTCAGCCTCTGACGCTTTCAAAAGCGTCATGGAAAAACGTTTTTGACTAGGTTAAAAACGCTTTTAAAAGCGTCAGACTCTGACGCTTTCAAAAGCATCAACTAAAAACGTTTTTTACCCCATCCTGACCGCGTCAGGAAAACAGATCCCTACTTGCATCCCAAACCGTTTGACCACCACCTGAAACGGCCAGGATACGCGTAAAAATAGCCACCATCTCAGGCGGCAATCTGAAATTTTTGCTGGGGAGCTGGTCTGTTTGGCAAAAATCCCTTACACGGGAGGTCTGTTAGGCGGGGGGCCACTGTACTTTTGAACCTTGCTAAATCAAACATTCATAAGTCAAATACTCTAAAACCTATGTCAAATGTTTTTGAGTCCCCAACTTCCCATCTGAATTCCCTTAGAAACAATGCATCAAAAACCTCCCTAACTCAAAGGATTTTCCCTTAAAATCTTGGTAAGTCAAATTTTTGAGGCCTTCAAGTTATTATTTTATTGAAACAGGAAAGAAAAAACCATAGAAATGGAATTTTATGGGTTTTGACAGAAGGTAACAGACTATATTGGGCAAATGAACCCCTGTGTCCAAGCTGAGTGCCCTGTGAACTCATTTTAGAAGCAACTTAAGGCCCGGAATATCAAAATGCACAATTTAGTGCAAATCTTCAATGTTTTCCGCAATAAAATTGCTTGATTCTATTGGTCAAACATCCATAATTTTAAACAACTCAAAACTCAAAGTTTTTCCCTTGTTCAATCTTTTGGGGTCTGAAAAATGAAAAAGTAGAAACCACATAGATACTTTGAACTCAACAGCATGCTCAAAGTAAGGAATTCATGGAGAATATAATGCTACATTTTTGAAACTCAGTAACTAAAACCGCTCCATAATTCAAAAACCTCCACATGTTGAATATGCATGAAGTTGTGGTTGTCTGCATTCCCTTAACCTTTAACAATGTAGAATGAACCTGTCCCTTGAAACATTTCCTTCAAACCATCAAAATTCAAATTTATGAAGGACTTTGGGGCATTATTCTGTACACTCATGCATAAAATGCAAATACATTTTTCAAAAGAAATTGAGCAATATTTAATTTCCAAGTTTCCCCCAAGTCCAGAATCCTTTCAACGGATAGATTCATCAATTCAGCAGCAGTAGATTCAGCAGTATTTCCCCAAATATTCATACCTTGCATGTAATTTATGTAAACATGTTCTGAGGAACACATTTTACTGTTAACTTCATATGATTTCTTGTCAAAGATTCTCTCCAATTTGTTCAATCAAGCAAACCTTATCTGTGAGCAGGCTGAGCACCTTCTGCTTTAATTTTGGTTCAGTAATTGCCTTATGCTGCAGTTCTCATTATTGATATTTTGTTTTTATTATCCAGGAAAGGAATAAAGTGTATGTACTGTGTTCGCATTATAGTTCTGCAATTGTACATTCTGGGGTGTATTTTTTTTCTTTCAATATCCATGAATAGCTCATTGCCTATCGAATGCTTCAAGCGTAAAATAAAACTTGCTGTTCAACTCAATTCACTTCAAAATTTCAAATACAGTAGGAAATTTTTCCTTCTTTAAAGGACTCTATTTAGGCAAGCAATTCAGTTCTTTGTTGAAAATTGGTCAGTTATTGTCAATTAGATCTGAGTCATCTGATATATTGAACAGATTCGAAATTCAACGAACTAACAGTTCATTCTTAGACTCGAAATGTAATACAGTATCATTACCTTTGGCCTAAACTTTAATAGAGTTCCATTGCTATACAGTAAAATCTCGTTACAACAAACTTGTGGGGACCACAGAAAAAGTTTGTTATAACGGATAATTTGTTGTAACGAGATTTTCAAAAAAATGACTGGAAAAATTTTTTTCAGCTCAGATCATCTGCATATATTCTGAATCAGGCTTGTCTTTCAGTTTAAGAACTCAAATGATTGTTCAAAAAATCAGTGATTTTCTTCTAAAAAAACTTATTATTCACTGCTGCTGGCAATGCATCCTCAGCTTTTTTCAGTAGATCATATTTTTCATCACTTGCAATGTCAGAGCATGAGGAAAAAATTTAATTGACCAGACACAAGCAATCATTTCAATTGCCTGCTTGATGTCAATGTCAGTATCCTTTTTATCACATGCAATGTCTGCAAGAATTTTCTTTAAAATATTTTTCCTGTAATGAACTTTCACAGTTTGTATTATGCCC